TCGAGCAGTGGCCGTTAAAGCAGGAAAGCCTCGCCGCCGCTCATCAAATAGTGCAAGAACAACTAGACCAAAAACATCTGCGGTTATCGACAAGCCCTTGGAATACCCCAATTTTTGTGATCAAGAAAAAATCTGGAAAATTTAGGCTAGTACATGACTTAAGGGCAGTTAACACTCAAATGCAATCGATGGGAGCGCTGCAGCCAGGACTACCTAACCCCGCTATGTTACCAGAGCATTGGAGACTGTTGATAGTGGACTTAAAAGATTGCTTTTTTACTATTGCATTACACGAGCAAGATATGCAACGCTTCGCGTTTACTTTGCCCTCTGTTAACAAAGAGGCGCCAGCACAGCGTTTTGAATGGACAGTATTACCACAAGGGATGAAGAATAGTCCCACGCTGTGCCAGTTGTATGTGGACAATGCACTACAACCCTTAAGGAAATTATGGCCACACACGTTAATTTATCATTATATGGATGATATCCTGCTCGCGCAGGAGTCGGAGTTCAGCGCCGAACAAGTTCAGCTATTACATACGACACTGAGAGAGAATGGCTTAATAATAGCTGTTGAAAAAATTCAAACGAAAGCGCCATGGCTATATCTAGGCTGGAAGATTGCTGACTCTCAGATTCAACCACAAAAACTACAACTCAACACGTCAATCAACACGCTACATGATGCCCAGAGGCTGATGGGAGACATCCAATGGATCCGTCCTGTCGTCGGAATATCCAACGCACAGTTGGACAGCCTTCGACCGTTACTACGTGGGACAGACCCAACCACACCGGTGCAACTTACGTCGGAACAGCAGCGTATCCTCTCTCAAATTGCTGACCAGATTGCCTCACGTTTCGTTCACCGTCGTGACCCCGACCTCCTTATTGATCTTTGTGTATTTTTAACAAATTCTCATCTATTAGGAGCCCTATCGCAATTTAAAAAGAAAAAGGGGGAAGTGTGGGGGGATGGCAAGGCTCGACCGAATTGCTTGTTGTAGAAAATCCATTTTAAGCTTAGCACACGGTGTCCTTGACAGAACAAGGAATTTAACAAATCAACTCTGCGGTTAGCAAGAATGTGAAAAACAGGTTGCAGCTGGAGAAGAATGATGGAGTATGGGCGGAGTTGACAATTAGCTGGCTAGCCAATAATGAGCTCTAACTTTGCAATATGTAGTAGCTAATTAATCACTCTATAAATTGTGTAACCAAACTGTAATAAACGAAGCTTGCTTATCACTCACATTGAGTCGGCTGCATTCTTCCGCCGCTTCTCCAGGTTCGCGACCCTCGGGGCAGGACTTAGCCGATCGCCCCGACAGACTTGACAATGTCAAGGGAAACTGATTCTTCATGCACTATGAGGAAAATGGATGCTACTGTGGCTACAGTTGGGTGACTTCTATTCCTCTACGGGATAATAGATTGAACCCACAGCTGCTACGCTCAGCTTCACTAATCATGTTTCTTTCCTTTAAAATTGTTGTGAGAAGAAGCCACTCACCTTAGCAAGAACACATTTGTCCCAAAGGATTTATGGTGAAGGAGGAAACTTGCGGAGTTCAAAGTCAGTACTTGGTGTATCAAGATAGCTTCTTGCTCAATAATATTTGAATCCAAGACAAACAAGTCTCAAATGTTGATAGTAATCAGCCTTTTAAACATGATAATCCATCATTTAAAAGGAAGGATGTTGTCTCTTTTCTGAAATATAGGATGGTAGCATAGAGCCAAAGCAATAGCTCCTACCTATTACAGGAAAAGATCCCTTAGTGTGCAAGATGCCCAGAAGTTTTGATATATTCTTCCTTTTCTTGCAGTGTGTCCTTATGGTCCAGATAGTTTTTTCTGATAAGTACTTACTTAATAGTATTTACCACACAAATATAAAATAAATTAATAGTCTGTTTTGCAAGGTGTCCACCTTATTTGCAGTCTCAAGGGTTTGAATAAGAAGCTAGATCTGCCTTTATTCTTTTAAGTTCTGTGCTGAAGCCCCTAAGCACCATTTAAAAAAAAAAAAAAAAAAGCTATCCAGAAGCTATGTAACTGCTGAGTGATGACTATGGATGATCATGCTGTTTGTAGTGCTCTTGTTACTTTGTTCTTCCCTTGTTCATTAGTTATCTGTGAGCCCACTCATATACTTCTAGCTCCAGAATTTTCTGGAAATTAATTTAACAATTATTTAATGTCATTTTCTGAGAAAAAACTAAGTTATTGTGCCTTTAGCAAAAAACCTCTCCATATCCCCCCCCCAACAACACAAACATTAAACACTATGGATTTTTCTTTTCCATTGTTATGTGTGTTTGCTGCAAGAAGAAATAGGCCATATAAGAAGATAGTAAAACTAATTAGACACAAAAATCCCACCAGATGTGCAAAACAAAAAGAAAATTTATTTTGTCATGCGTGTTTTAATAGCTCAAGGGGATACCTGTAAACAGAGGAAACTGAAAGTGTGATTTTCGTCTTCAGATTCACAGAGAATACTGTCTGTAAGTGGATATGACTGCTCAATTTGTGCATTTTAAACAAAAATTTTTATTTTTCTTTCTTACAGTCTGTTGTGGGTGGCTTAGAAACAGGTAGGTACAAATACAAAGTTTTTAAAAAATTTCCAATCTGTGATTGCTTAAACAAACTAAAAGTGGCATACTTTCTTTACATATCTAGAACTTCTGATGCAATGTCCTTCTTTACATTTTCTTTCTCTTTCTTACTGTCTCCCTGATCAAACAGATTCCAGCTGAATTTGTCTTCCGCATCTCAATGCTCCAGGTACTTACCTCCCTTCTCAGACAGGTTTCTAGCTGCTTCCAACTTCTCTCTGACAATCTGTTAGGGTAAGGGCTGTTGCTCAGTTCTGCCGCAGAGGATGAGTTCTGTGTTTGTTGTGTAACTTATGGCCCATCTGAAGGAGCGCTGGAATTCTGACAGTTTGTTTCAGCCCATTGAGTTGCCAGAGACACAGGAATAGTTTGAGTCCCAGGACTACCGCATTTTGCAAAGTATGTGTTTTGCATACTTTTTAAAAGTACGGCTTAGTTTCTTTTACCAGAAATGTTTTCACCTTGCTTCTAATGAGAGATGTTATAGAAGCTCGCCTCCCGTGACGATTTCAAATTTAAGAGCCAATTGTTAATTAATCAATTTTGAAGTTATTAGCAATAGAATTTATTTAAGCAAGCGATGAAGCAGGCAAAACAGCGCTGAGCGGCCGGGGAGCCTCCTGCTCCGCCAACGGTCCGCACCAATAACAGATGCAACCCCTCTTTTTATAGAGTTCCCATTTCCTGCATACGTGACTTCTGGTATTCTCTGCGTTGTGTTCGCGCTTGCGCAACTAACTGCCAGATGGTCGTTGTCTGCCTCTCGGTGGTCGTTGGGATGAAGGCCGAAGTCTTTCTCAGGCGCCCTGCTGTCTGCTCATTCATCCCCTAAGTCATTGCTTTGCTTATCAGCAGATGGGCCATCTCCTTTCAGCAAATGGTTGCTTACTTTGCTTACTCCTCCGGATGTCTGCGGCTCCAGCTTAAGTTACAAAGAAACTCCAACATTCACATGCGATTTCATGAACAAAGTTAACCCATTCATCGCAGGGCTTCTCCTCTTTCTCCATCAGCCGGTTTGAGAACAAATTTTATATGTATACATTTATTACAAGAGACACATGTGTATACTGGTACAGAAAACATCCCACAAACGTGATCTACAGTCTTATGCTAGTATTATGACTTTATCTGCTTATGTCATATCTCATTATATTTTTATCAGTCAGTGCAGCTTGAGACAAATAGTTTTTGTCTAGCTAAACAAGAAAGGAGTAAACATCAGGTTCTTCATTCTGTGGTTCCTAGAGCGATTTTTCTGGGTACATGGGAGAAGATTGGCTTCGTTATTCATAAACTCATACTGAAGTTCAAAATTCAAAGTGTGATTATTTTTTTTCCTTTCTTTATTTTTCCGCCCAACACCAGGTAAACATGCAATCCAGAGACTGATGGACAGGTGGGGATATGCTAGCTATGATCAGCGTATTTTAATTCCTGACTACATTTCTTCACAAGGTTCTGCTCGTGAGCTGAGAAAGTGGTGCAGCATTGCACCAGCAGATCTTCATAATCTCAGTGCTGCATCAGCTGAAGAAGAAGCTGAAACACAATTTCAGTCCTGTTTCATGAACGTAAGTTGGAGCCTCAGCACAGATGGTAAGTTTGTTGTCAGAGAGGCTGGTGGGGATCCTAAGGAGAATAAGAAAATGAACTGCTGGGGGTAATGCCAGAAGCGTGGCATGAGCAAACAGAAGGTATCCTACCACCTTTCAGTTTAACCATCAAGGTTTAAGACAGGTAATTTTCCTGAAGAGATTGGTTCATATAAACCTACATGCTTCCAGATCAATAGAGTTCTCCAGTCTATTAACTGACTTTGTGGTTCTGGGTGCATTGTTGCAGTGAATGCACTTGACACTTCTAAGGAGCAAATACATGTTCAGTAAAGCTTTTGATTTTTTTATGATATGGCTGCAGTCATAAATACACAAGACACTATGCCATTGGGAAGCATGGACAGGACAGGGCTTGTAGGCAAAAGTACTGTGTTGAGAAATAATAGTCAAACTTTTGCGCATTAAACCTTTCTTTATGTTAGAAACACAAGCAGTGGGTGTCAAAGCTAAATACAAGCTGGGAAAAAATGTTTGGAGTCTAGGGAGGAGAGTATCTTACTGATATTCTCAGAAAAGAAAAGGTAGGTGTTATTTGCGGCATGCAGGGGACATAAAGGCAACTTATATCCTGTGGACACGGAGAGGGTGAGAAATTATAATAACCTGTAAAACTTCAGGATCCACTTTTCTCCTGCAGAATTATGAATTCTGGTTCCCAGAGCTGGGACCACACTTGTTAGAATATAAGATATTTTATATAGGATTTTCTGCCTGCAGTGAGTTGTTCTTAGTTCTGCAATGAAAAGACTGAAAATCATTTTTATTAGACCTGCAAAGACAGGCACATGTCCAAAGACACAATGGAAGCATACCCGTGACTGAGTGGAGAGCGGAAAATGAGAGTATTACCTAGATGTTTTGTGCTTTAATAACTTGGACTTTTTTTGCTTTAGAGTGATGAGAATGGCATGAACTGAATAAAACAGAGAAATGTGTTACAATCTCTGGTGTTAGTTCTGTAAACAGGCCAAAGGATCACGTACATGGCAAATTTAAAAACTGCTATATTTTATTCAGAGAAACTATTGTCACACAAGCTTTCTGTGCTTAATATCCTATGAGGTGAAACAACTTGCATTTTTTATTGATCAGCAAATGTCATCTTTACTTCTAGCCAGCATCAAAGAACTGACAGCCAAAAAGATTTGTGTAACCAGCAAAGGAATTGTTGAATGTTTTCAGTGTATTCAATGCAATTATACAGAAACGTTTCAAAGACAAGTGGCAGTTGCTAATTGAAGAGTAAGAAAACAACTACTTAAAAATATTGTTCGCTTAATTTAGTTCCGGGAGAAGGAGCTAGGGAATAGGGAAGTGACATTTAGAAGTATAGAGTAAAAATTTTCCCTCTGCTATGGTAGTAAGAAGGGATGTGAGAAAAAAAAATAGTAGTTTTATACTTCTTTCAGATGTTTAGTGAAAGACGGGCTTGAGCCTTATGTTTTGGGAGACTGAGAACAAAGCTATGGGAAAATTAGCCCATTTCTTTTCCATAACTTAATCTCTCCATCTGTTCTCAAATGGATGCTTAGAGCCAGGGTAACACAAGCCAAAAATATACGATCTGTTATTGGACTATCTGGGATAGGGGGTGGTGTGTTAGGGGACAACCCTCCTTCATTATGGGCTAAAATTTTAATTATTTCATATTGGCTGCAAGCTATAGGTGTGTATATACAGAATAATGAAATTGACACTCAATATCCTGTTGCTGTCTCTGAGGAATTCTCTTCTAGAAATCTATTCTTGTCCTTGTTAAGTACACTTAAAGTAACTGTTAGCGGTTACTAATCTATATAAATTCCTCTGTTAAACCTGGTCCCGTTAGAATTGTATATATCTGTTTTTGTATTAAGTCCTTGAAATGAACTTTTCTTCATTTTATTTTAGTGGTAGTTCCATTATATTGGATTCCCTGTAGAACTGGAAACAAAGTATTTTATCTGTGCTTACAATCTACCCCCAGCAAATATAAGAAAGGATTTTCCATGAAAATCCATTTTGCTGGCTACACCAGGTAATTTACCAAGCATTCTCTGCTTAATGATACTACTGTTTTTTTTCCATCCATGTTTTTACACAGATTTGCTTAAGAAGGCCAGAAATGGCTTCTGTTTCTAATGTGTTCTGAAATGTGTCTGGTACCAGGGTCATCAAAGCTGAGAACTCAGGTGCAGCCAGCTCTTTAGCAGTGGTTTGGGTTTTTTTTCCCATGCTTGTTTTGTTTCTGTATTTGCCTGCCACTTATATTTCAGCAACAGAGAAATGGATATTGTTTTTCAAAGGAAAAAAAAAAATTATTCTGCTGTCAATTTTAAAAGAATTTACACTTTTAGCTAGGCAGTTTTTCAATGTCATTTTAAATAAACATTAATCAGCAATATTATTATTATTATAAAATTTTAGGGCAGCCTGTAAGTTTAGAAGTCCTTTAAAGAAGAACATGTTGTTATGGTCATTTTGCTCGATGACTGTAGAACTGGCGATCTCTGTCTCCACACGAAAACAGAACTCGGTGCTTGTTCTCCAGGACACCTGTCCACCAGAGGAGTGGGTGTCCTCCTTAATAATATACCTCCCTTCAAGATTTGACTTCTCGGGTCAGGATCGAGGCATTGCTGTTGTGTACACAGTACGCTTCCATACAGGGGACATTCCCCAACTAGATGGGGTTGAATTAACTGTAGTTTGAAATAGGTCATACCTGTTTACTTGCTTTCTTGTTTTGTCTTGTATTGTTGGGAGATAGAGAATATGCAGAGCAGCATGATAATAGGATGCTTTTATTTTGGTTTATTTTAATCTGCAGTAAAATATTTACTGGTAAACAAGTTTTGTAGCCACAAGAAAGACCACTGGGATTCTTAATGCCTAGTTATCACTATTGCATTTTAGGCAGATGTCTATGAAGATTATGTAAGTGGAGCATGTTTAGTGTGAGTGCGTGCGTGTGTTTGAGGAGATGGTGATAGAAAATAAGACAAAAACACTGTTCACAGAGCAGGACCTACATAGGCCAGTACCTATTTTGAATTATCCTTTCTAAAATATATTGTACTTGGGGATTGATTTATGCATATTTTAATAGACTTTAGTGAAAATTCTCGCAGATCATGCATTTGCTAAAATTTTATAAGTTCATTTAAATTCACAGGCTGTAATGTAATGAAATAGAGCAGAAGTTGTACCAAAATGGGTAAGTGCTATCTACACATGTAAACATCATACTGAAGGGGTAAAAATAACTCTTCAAAAGTGTTTCTTTCTCTACCATTTAATTTTGAAAACATTGCCATATTTTAATCCATGAATATGAGATTGAGAAGTTTTCTTGGTTTCTCTGAAATTATTAATTTAGTCTAGTCTAGTTACTGGTTGGTCCACTATGACATGAACAAATGTACCCTTAGTAGACTACACAAATTCCGTGGAGATTTGAGCATGCAGATGTGGGGTTAACACTAAGTACTAAATCTGTTGGAGGTTTAATGGGCTAGATATTTTTACCACATACACTTTCAAGCAACAGTGCATGAATTCAAACAACTCCAGGGCGGTCCCTATTGTAATGCAGGGTTCTGACTTGCTCCTTCAAAAGCACAAACACTTTTAGGTCATAAGGTGCCACCTGCAGGGTGTATGGTGCCTGTCACAAGCACAGTTATAGCAGAAATCCATTTCATCACTTACATAGTTATTAAAAATTTCAAACTGAAATCTTGTCAGCCCACAGGAAATTTGTGGAATCCAAATAGAACCATTTGTGAAATGGAGATAGAATTAGAAGTGAATTTTACAAGCAGCAGTTTTGGGCTTGAATATTTAATACTGTTTTATGTGTGTCAAAAGTATGAAGTACTTCTTGAAGAAAAAACATGTAAGTAAAGGTAATTTTCTGTTAAATCATAATAAATTGAAAGCATAGTTCTCTAAGTTCTTGTTCTGTATTAACACAGCAGGAGGCATACGCTTCCAGTGAAATTGAATCAGGAATCAGCAGAGCTGGCCAGCAAACACTGAGGAGATGGTCTAGAAGAACTGTGGTTGCTTTCAGAAGAGCTCTGCTCCGCTGTTACAGTATGTTATTTTATTTTTGAGATAATATTCTTTATTTTTAAAGGATGTTCTTAAGCAATATTATTTTGTTCAGAGTGAGAGTAAGCAATGAACATGAAAATGTAAGAAAATATATAGTAACTAGTTAACTAGGCTTAACTAAAATGAAACACACTTTGCTTGTAATTGCTACTAAGATATTCACCCTATTTTGTTACATTAGAGTAGTGGATTTATACAGAAATATATGCACTATCTATAATGGTGACATTAAGAATATATAACAGTTTTAAAGCCTATTAAGTGCAATTTGAAATGCAATTAAATATTAAAAGTGATTTAACTTAGTAATGACTCCTTTTATGATAAATGACATTTTTTTCTCTCCCACACGCTTCTTCAGGATTTCATTTCATGATTAAAGGAAACTAGAATTTCTGTGAGGATACCAGGTAGTGATGAGAGCACTGATATTTTTGTAGAGTTAAGTAACATTTTTGATTTGTTTTCAGTGAAAAGGGTATTTGCTTTTTTATAGTTAACAGATGTGAAGACGTGTACTATTTCTGGTTAGCAAACAAGACACAAACATGTACATCACTTAATTTTTTTCTTATTAATTTGTTTTTTATTATGAATTGGTAGATAACGAGCCTCTTCTCCTGGTGGTAATTTAAGTCTTTATTATTCTGTAGAGTGTCCCTGTGCTATAAAGCTTAAAGCAAACATACTTGATATGTTTACACTGAATTGTCTCAAATTCTTACTTATCTCATGAATCTCTCTTAATTTTTGTTATTTGTATTAGTCGTAAGGATACTCTTGCAGGAAAATCCAGTAACAGTTTTAGGAAACACAGTCCTGTCAGGAGCCATAACCATAGCACAGAATGAAACGCATGAAAGGAATTAATCTGTGCAGAAATCCCATTTAACTGTGTGTTGGAATTATTCTACTCTTTTTTCCCCCAGATAATTCCTTACATTGCTAAGTGTGAGTATGACTGCCCAAGGCCTGCAGAAAACCTAACAAACTGCATGAAGATGAAAGCAATGGTTAATTGAGTATTTATAATTCTTGAGTCAATATTCAATGCAAACTAAACAGAAACTGCTCAATGTTTTCTGTTGCATTATGTATTATTTATATTCAGCAGATTTTTTGCAAAAATCTGGGAAAATAAATGTTTTGGTACACAGATATTTAAATTGTCAAAATCCTGTTAAAAGCAGATGACTTTAGTCTTAGATGACTTTATGTACATTTTGCCTTTCATCTTCTTCAAAGTTGAAGTTTTATGCTTAATACTGTGATGCTGCAGTTCAGGAATTAGTTATTTTGTTACTACTGTTTAGAGTAGAACTCTAAACAAAAGGGAAGAGAGAACGACTGATGAGATGTCAGGCTGCAGGAGGAGCTACATTCCAGAAACATAGGAGGAACTTGGAGAGAGCAGATTCAAACTGGTATGTTTTGTTTCTTTCAAAGCAGGGAAGAAAATTAAGTAACTTAGTCAACACTTCCGTAGTTCTCAATGTGATTATTAATCCTTTTGCATTACCTTTTAGTACAATTTCTCTTCCATAGATAGACATTGGAAATGCTCATTTCAATAATTCATTAACTGAAGACAGCTTTTTCAGCTGTACAAGACGTGTTTCAAAGTGATTGTTCCTTCTCTTTTAGAGATCCTCACAATCAATTCAGCTGGAAGGTTTGCGTTTCCTCTTTGTTGCTCTACTTGTATTATTGCTGCAGTAGTTTGAGTCATCACAAAGCGAGGTAAGAGTTCTCACTTTTTTGAACTTTAGTATTTCTGCAATTCCTGTTCTCTGATTTTTGCTGCAAGCATCCTTTTTTAGGTGAGATAGATCATATGAAAGACACTATCTTTTATGTATCATTGTCACAGATACTTTTCAAGTTTGTTTAGGAAACTCCAGATGTGTCTACATTAATGTTTTAGTTTAAACCAGTATTGCACTTTTGAAGGGAATCACACGCTGGCCCCACCGTGGTTTGGTTTGTAGTGCAGGGTGGTTGAGGAGGGCAGCCATGATTGTCTCAGGTGGAATTAAACTGGAAGATGTGCCCTAACGAATCTAACATAGTCTGACTGCTAATGGATATGCAGGCCACAGGCCTGGACTAGAGCTAGGCTGCAGGAACCCCCCTGAAATACTTAATGCAGAAGTCTGTTCCTTGGCTGACCTGTTCTGCGCTGTAGTCTCTGCCATTCTACCACTACTTGCCAATGCAGGCCTAGCCTTTTTGCTTCCACTGTTTTTTTTCCTAAATGAGGAGTAAATATATAATCTCTTAAACACTTGTAAGAACAGTGAATCACCTGAAGTGCAGATAGTTTTTGGTTAGCCCTTTCCTCTTTAACAAACGTCAGCTGCAGTCACATGAGCATTTTGCAGTTTAATTTTTGTTTCCTTAGCACTTTTTTTCACAGTATTAGTTTTGCAGAATGACTAACAGATAAAGTACTGTGCCTCTCCTGCTCTCTTCTCATCAGTCTGTAATGCAAGGCTGCTCCCTTGGTGTAGACCTTAAACTGTTCTAGCTACTGAACACTGTTTTGCTAAATTATTTTCAACATTCCTGGAGAGATGAAGTACAGATAAATTGTCTAAGCTGGATCTATTTAATCATGAAGATGGGATTCTGAGCTCTGAATTCTAATATCAGTTCACTGTTTTTGCTTTTCATACTTTTATACAAATGTAATTTTTTCTAGCAAAAAATGAGGCACAGTCAACCCCTCCGTAACAAATCAGAATGCCATTCAAATTCTATTTACATTGTTTCTATAAATACTGATATTTTAAGAGAGTATATAGTGTCTTTTTTGTTAAACAGATTAATTTAGGAGGCAATTCTTCCATCAGGTGCAGCTACAACTACGTATTAAAAGTAATGGTTATATATCCAGAAGTGTGTTTTCATCACAGTGTCCTTTCTTTTGCTGAACTCTTGCATGAGGGCTGCCAGACACGTGGGAGAAAAGAATTGCTGAAAAAGGTCCTGTACAGCGGCTTGCTGCTCAAGAACCAGCGGCAGATACGGTGATTTTCCTCAGTTCAAACACTACCACTGCTGCACGTGATGTTTCTGGAAGCATAGGAAACTACAATAACATGGAAAATACGTTCACTCTTGCAGTTAACCTCTTCTGCAGTGACATCACAAATCAGTCCTCTGTACAAAAATACACAGTTGTTTGTTCCAATGAGGTTGAGTTCACAAGACACTTGACCAAGTGTTCTGAACCTCTGTCCAAAATACTATCTTGTGAAAGACATCGAGAACTTCTGCAGAGACTTCCGTTTCATGCAATGAGGTGCACGGCAAGAAATCAGAAATTAACAGGTGTCAGGATATTGAGCTCTAGTCCTACAAAACTGAAGGCAAAAGTATCAATAGCTGAACAAACATTAGGGCGCTGTAGCTACTGGGCCAGATTTAGTACAAGCTTACTTATTTGAAATAAATCCTGAACAAAAAATTTCTAAGTTGTGGCAAACTAAGATGTGACTTCCATAACAAGAAATGAAATTTTATAAGAAAATTGTGATCAAATAAAAGAATCAGAAGTAATTGGTTGTGAAAATACCATAACACAGTCTATCAAGTAATTTAGAAGTACTGCTCTCCTCTGCGTAGAGTTTGTGAAGTTAACTGATGGGAACCCCATTAAGGTGCATGGGTTTTCCAACATGACTTAAAAGCTGGTTTTGTGATTCTGTTACTTTGTTGAGTTACAGTGTGCATTTACAGCTTGTTTAATATGGTGTTGTGAGAATAATGTAGCTTTTATAGTGGAGTAATTTACCTCACCCTTCAGTGTGTCCAAGTGTCAGCACCCACTGACGTGAAGTTGTGAAGTGGTTGCTGTAGATCAACAAATCCAAACCAAATCTTTGTACATATGTACTTTCTTTTCTATATCACAATCATGCGAGTTTAAAAAAAAATACATTTATTCTAGAACAGGAATTCTGGACCATTTTCTGGAAGGGAACGCTCCCTTCTCCCCCCAAAAAAACAAACCCAGCAATGATATTTAAACCTGCCAGAGTAAAATTTGAAGTGTTGTATGCAGTCTTCAATATGAGAGAGCCCAAAGGTCCTTGTCTTAAATAAAATACAGGAATGTAGCCACAGCCTGCAGTAAAATACTTTCAGATAAGATTATACCCTTCATTACAGAAGACAAAACCCAACAAAAAGAGCACTTCTGTACGTAAGGATTATTTGTTAGGAGACAAAGCCCAGGTGCCTGTACCACTGGATTGAAGTTGGCACTGGCTATATAAAAATTCATCTAGTTCTTTTGGGTGTATCCTAATGATTTTTTTTTTTTTTTTTTTTTAAACTGGGAAAATAGTGGGTAACTACCATGGATAATGAGAAGCTAACAAGAGCTTCTGATGATAACAGGTAAGAAAAAAAATACTCCACTTCCGAATTTGTAAGTCTTTCCACTGGATAGTTTATTATATAAGCAAAATACCAATGGCAACTGTAGTTTAGGTTCTCTATTTCACTTTTTCCATAATGATCGCTTGTATAACAATTTAATCTCCTAGTAACATTAAGAGTAGGAATCAGAATAACACATTAAACCAACAGCCTGCACTCTTCAGCTATTGCTCCTGCGCACACGTATCTGGAATGAATCTTGGCTTAACATCTGCCACATCAGTATTTTATACCTCAAATTCCCATATTGTGCAATTTTAATATATGTAACCTGTATAATATAAATGTAGCAAATTTTGAGATGACTGCAATGCTTTGTACACAAAATTCAATGCATACAACTCAAAAGAAGTAGTATAGCAACGCTGAATTAATGTGCATTCAGGAAGACTTTTGGAAAAATCTCAGCTGAAGTTAATTTTAATAACATACAAAATTATCAGCAGAAGATCAATATATCTGCACTGGAAAAAAGGGGCATTTGGGGAAAGGAATCCTCAGTTAATCAGGTTCCACTGTAAACATATCCATTACCATACAAATGCAGCTCGCTCTCGTAACATTCTGACACCAAAACGCTGCCATTCTCGCTGATATATCCATAGCTCCTGAGTTGTATCAAGACAGGCTAAAACTGCACCTCCTTTCCATGCAATTAAGCGGGGATCCATATCCTAAATTCAAAACACAGATTGTACACAATCACTGGTCTAATTTTGCATAGTCTCAAAAGTTGTATCCCAATTTTTCCAACAGTATTCACCACTTACAATCTTGGAAGGGAGGGGAGAAGAAAATAAATTTTTCAAAATTATTCAGAAAAAAATAGTGAGATAAAAGTATGGAAAGAATATTTAAGAAGTTCTGAGAATTCACTTTTTTTAAGATGCCTTCTAGGCATGTCATGAACATCCTGCCTTCCGCTATGGAGGTTCTGATATACCTAAGTTTTCGTTTTAAATATTTTGCCTGATTAATGCCAAATCAAAATTGCTCTTTTAATGCCATACTTTTTTACCTTAATAATAATAAAAAACCCTAACATAATTTCTTGCTGCGCAGACAGGTTAACTTCACAGGCCAGTAGTAACTGCTTCTTTAAGAATATAGCCTTTAGCTAATCAACACTTCACTGATCAATAGTAGTAACACGCTTGCTGTACCTCTAACTTCCTGCCTGTAATTGGCAAGTACTATGTCATGAGCTGAAAGCTCTCCTAAATCCCCTCAGATATTCAGCTAATCTGTGGGTTTGAAAGAGTCTGGTTTTGTAAACTTTCAAAGATTTCAACCAATCGTAGCTTGTTGATCATTTAGCTATCAGTTAACAGTATACCTTAGGTCTTGTGATGACTTCAACATTTTCAACAACTCTTCTGAAAGAAGGTGGCATTTTGTTGAGAATTCGGTGTTGAAGAAACTCTTGAGCTTTATGAAACATAAGGCCCCCTCCCACTACTAAGATGGAGCTGTACATCTTCTTTTTTGTATCATCAGATGCTGGAACGAATGGACATACAGAAATATAGCTGTTTCTTAAAGCTAATACGGCTTGTACTTGTATTATAAAAAATTTAGTGCAGGTCAAACCAGATAGAAACTGGTTAAGTGCTTTTAAAATTCTTTTTCTACTCCCTGGAGATTCCAAACATCTAGCTCAAGAAACCTCAACAAAGATGCAAGTACAAGGAACAGCGTAGCCACTCTAGAGATGATAAAACTTAGGGACATACACATTATTTTGGTAAAATACAGGCATTACCATGTATATTTTTATGGAATTGTACAAATGTAATTCTTACCACAGCAGTCAATACTATGAAGAATAGCTTTGTCAAGGCCCAAGGCTTTGCCTTCAAACTGAGTAATAGCTGTTTTCCTGGACATGTGTGCACTTAAAGGCTCCTCTGAATCATTTCCAGATATCATACAATCACTCTGGGAAGATCCCAGTTCCACTTCTTGTGGGTAGATCCTCTCTGAGATGTCTGAGGCTTGGCCTCTCAAGTCTCCCTCAAACGCACCAGGCTTCGACATAGATTTTCTATCAGCTGTAGCTTTTGCAGACTTAAAAATGAGAAAAGAAGTTGGACTATGAAAATGCAAAAAGATCTTCAGCAGGTTACAGAACAACAGAGACTTAACTAAGCACCATTGTACTTCTCTTCACCTTTTTGCACTGAAAGGTTAAGCATTGCATTATTACCTTATATAATTTTAATCCCCACTTTCAAAGTTAAGGGTTTTATCTTGAACTCTATCAGATTTATATGAAGCCCTCAGACTCTGAAGATACACAGTTGCAATTAAAGACTTGTCTAGACATCCGTAATTCCTTACTCCAAATTTATTCTTTAATGCTTTTGACTCAGGTCACAAACTTTGGTTTCTGAGATGAGCTAATGAGTCCCGATTTTATTCCCCAATTAAATAATGCTTAATGAAAAAATAAAACAAGCATTCACACACCTGCTCCTGCTTACTCTGAGTGGCTACCAGATAATGTTCATCATGAGGATCTTCAGGGTCACCTTGTGACCTGTGTTGCAAAGTTGTCATTTTTTGTCCAACAATTCCAAAAGTTGCTGGATAAAACAGAGCCATTGGAGCCTGAAGAATGAGATATTTGGCATGGTTTTACTACATGGTTTTTCTGGTTTGGGCTTTTACTATAAAAAAAAAAAAAAAAGAAACTCACAATTCAAAATTCAGTATAAATTTTTTTCCAAATAGTTTTGTAAAAGGCTAAAGTGTCTTCAGCTTTGTATAATTAAAAAAAAACAAATACACTTGTACATGTATATAAGTTTCTTTACAGATTCTGGCATTGTATGATAAATAAGTGCTCAAATGCAGTTTGTTACTAAGTTAGAAAATTCAACAGTGAACTGAAAAACTCGCAGAATTCCCATTCACTCCTTGCACTTGAAGGATAAATATCATACTTAGTTGACGCTACAACCATTCTGGCTAAAGCTAGTTAGGGAGTCTTGTGCATTCATTAGTGCTGCATTAGGCCCATTTACACATACAGTAATTAACTTTAAAACTATCCACAAGCATATGTTAAGAACAATCCATAAATCACGTGGGCTTAGTAGCACTGGGCTGATACAAAGTGAGGTACTGAGTGTGAATGCTGAGTATAATGCTTGTAATTAAAAAAAAAAATCACCTGTAACTTTTCATCCCCTAATCGGAACTGGTATAATAAAGCTGGAGAATCCGGATGTCGAATTTGGAACTCATGATCTTGCAATCCAGAAATATCCTAAGGTCAAAAACAATATGAACAAAAAATTGTATCTTTCACATCTCTCCAATGAGCCGCATAATCTATTTAAACTGTAGGAAACAAGAAAAAGTAACAAAACTCTTCGGCCTATGAATTTCATTTACCTGTTCTTGAATGCTTAGTCTTTTCCCTGTAGCATGATCTGCCAAAACAGCTTTCTACATGACTAAGCCTCAAATATGAGGGTTTGTGCAGAAAGAAGAGACCTGCTGGCAGATCTTACAAAATTAAAGTGAAAACCAGCAAACGCACAGCTACTATCAGCTTCTTTGAGTAATAAGGACAAAGAAACTACCTTTCTAAGAGTTGGGATTCCTTTTGACTAGAAGAAAAATAAAGCAAATTACAAAAGCTTCAAGTCTAAAGCTTCTCCAGCTTTTGCCAGTATTCTACTGAGTAAAATATTACACGCACAATAAATTGTAGACTCACAAAACGGTTCTCCAGAGTAGCATTCTGTGCAGGGAAAAAAAAAAAAATTACTTGGAGAATATGCTATTTTCCTTTCTCACCTGGTCTAGATGACAGAATGTCTCCTTTAGGTGCTGAAGCAGCAGGCAATCCAACTTACTAGTTAACTGACAGTCTCTGTATGGGAAGCCTGCTCGTTGCATAAGCCAATAAAAACACCTTGACACATCGGATCCTCCATACGCAAGGCACAGCCTAAAGCACAAAGAAGAAAAAGGTTATGTTATTACTTTGTGGCAATACCGGCCTTCTGCAGTAGCATACACAGGAACACAAGTAACATTTTGGACATACTGTGATCATAACTTCCATATAGTTTACAGAGCACAGTTATCAATTCTACCTGTTTTTTTCTTTTAAAGATGTCAGAATTCTTTAAGGTTTATATTATAATATGCTGACCCTGTCACGCAGCTCACAGTAAAAAAACTCTGTAAAAAGTTTTTCTTGTTTTTAAGGTCAAGTTTTTGGTAAGCAGCTAAGTACATGCTTATAATAATTCTGCCTATTAAAAGATACCTGGTGTTGCGATGGGAAACGCCATCTTCTACACAGCAAACACTTGTCTTCTGATCTCCCACATCTACTATACATGCACTGCTTAAACCACTTCCAAAGGTAGCACAGACAGACTCCTGGTGTACAACAATTCCTAGCAATATGAGAAAAAAATATATCCAATATATGCCAAGCTCTAGAGCCATGTTGCTGACATGTAAAGGACATCTTAATGTCTTTAGAAATCTACTAATAGCCTGACTCTGCACTGGATGTCTGTGTATTTAATGAAGATGGGCTGGGGGGCATTTACAGCTTTTTTTGTTGGGTAGGCCCTTAAACTCCTGCGAAAAGCTAAGAGCGGGGTGGATGCCTATATTCAAATGTTCTTATTTTTTGCAAGTTTAAAGATACTGCCTCCAGACCAACCATTTTGTCCTATTAATAGAGACAACAGTTATGGGAATAGCAAAACATGAAAGGTGCTAGTCCTAGCCAAACTGGGACTGATGTGCAATAATATGCCTTAAAGGAAAAGAAATATCTTTACACTATTAATCATTAAGTGCTTGCTTATGTATGGTTTTACCTGAGAAGCCCATCTTCATTAGGATCATATTTACCAGTTCTTTCACATGTTGTTTATTATAGATGTCTGGAATTAGTAAAATGCATCTGTAGTACTGAAGATAAGAACAGTAAATTAAAGCCAGCTCTCAAATTAAGTTTCTCTTTACATCCTTGAATACCTGATGCTAAGGAAGAAAGCATAATACACAAGTTATTAAAAGAAGCAAAATTATGGAAAGGGGGAAGGTTTTTAATAATTTGAAAAGTGAGTTCAGAGTAAGTACCAAGTTAAGAGTTCACAGGCCACTAAAATGTTTAAAAGTACATCAGATATGAGAAAAAAGCCTATTCTGCAAGGAGAAGAAATTTATGCAAGTATTAGGCAACCATTCCTCAGTTGCCTCCTTTTTCGTCAACACAAAAAAACCCAACCCTAGACTAAGACCGTGAAATTTCTATAATGGGATTTCCAAACCTCCTCGGTAGAAGTTCTATTAACAATTTTCGTCTTAAAGACAGGGACAAAATTCCAAATGAAGTCTTAGGAACCATGCTCACCAGCAGAAAGAATTTATTCGTTAAGAAAACCACTGGCAAGAGGCTACCAGTAACAGCAGGTTGCTTCTCCTTTATAGCAACATTTGCAGAATTGGATACAGCCCACATTAATGTGTTGACAGCTCACCTTTAAGTCTTTCAGTGGTATTTCCAGGTATTTTTGTATTGCATGTGACCATATAACTTCAAGGTCTGCTAACACTGCAGTGAGGGAGCCACCAGGTCCTGTGTGAAGATTCAACTGCCCTCTTCTAATAGGCCAATGTATATTATAAGAATCTAGTGGATTAACATACAGTGCCTGAAAATAAGAAATTATGTTCTATGCATTGCTTTTCCCAAAACATTAATAACAAACACTAGAAAAATATTTCACAAGCAGATACAAGACCTACAGCAGCACTCAGACCGATGTGACAGCAATACAGTGGATTTCTTTTTAACAGGGCTTGATTATAAAGCGTTAAAATAAAAAAAGACATTAAATACATGGTGTGAACAGTTTGACTTTTCATATCCACAGACATAACAGTATATTTTTCCATTATCTCAAGTTAGTAACTAAAATAATTTAAAGACTCTTTGAAGCTCATGAATACCTAATTACTCAGCAGTGACTGCATGTCCTGGTGCTTTTATTAGTTTCTTGCCTTTTCTCTGAATTATACCACATGGGCAGAGTTCTTAGCTAGTCCCTGCAGAAACACTGATCTATAGCAGCAAAGGATCCAGGCTACTTGCTAGGCAAATGGGGGAAGCTGTCTGATCTTGCTGAATAATAATAAATATTCAGTTCATAGTAAAGAGTCTTATGTATTGCTTGGCTAAATTTATATGCCTTTCCATACATACTAACATATAGCCAGGAAAATTAATCTTTCTTCTTCTCCTACCAAAAATTCAGGATGATTCGATGTGTTTGTCCACTTGGCCCCAGAGCTGTGATCTAAAATAGCTGGCCGCATTTGTCTGTTGTATAATCTGGCCTGAAATGTAATAAAAACAAATACTGTTGATAAATATTTTACCAGTCACTTTATTCATGAAAGAAAAAAGAAACACCCCCATGCCCCTGAAGAACCATTTTAAACCATCATTTTCACAGCATTTCAGAGCTAGGGCACACAATAGCACTATCCATATTTGCTGTACAAAGGATATCTGTTCTCATCCGCTAAAACATAGCATCACACCAGACAACTACACAAATGAACACTTTAATAAAATCTTAAGAATGAGTTACCTGATCAGGTGACACTGGTATACGCCTTGCACCATTTGACATCTTTTTGGACCATATTGCTTGGTCCACCATTTTAAGGCCATTTTGTCTCTGCTCAGTACTTTCAGGTTTCTAAACAAAACCCATAAACACACAACATAAATACTTACTTTCAAAGTACATGTCTCTATGCTGGTAATACTGAAGCTACTATTAAACAATGAAATCATTACTGTAGTAGACAGACTGTAGAAAGGACAGAAGGTTTGTACAATGTAAAATGCACATACACTTATTTTTGAAGAAACTCTTTTTTACATTCGAGTTCCCAAGCCCTGCTTGTCTAAGTCAACTTGAGTCATTTAACTGATTGTAGTGGCTGCTGGACTTCTCCAGAGTGATGAGCTCAGGACATTATCTTCTTAACTACAGAAATATTAAGTAGGAGCAAAAATGTTTAAATATATCTTCAATATTTAAAGGTGAGGTTGAATATTAAAGGCATTAATTTGATTAATGTTTCTTTGTACAGATTCAAACTATGAATAAGATCACTACAGGTATTTTTTGAGCAGGCCAGACTAAAATTACTGGCTACGCTATCCAAGTTACAAGCCAACTTGTAAAAAAAAGCATTTACAAATGGAGCGGTCCGATTCTAGTTCTACAGCTGCCATTCTATAAACACAAACACTGTGTGTGGTATCAGACCAGAGAGCAGAGAAATGCACCTGTACAGACCCTACCACTCAGTTCACTACATTTGGTTCATTGCGAACAAGTGGGATAAACCCCCTAACACGCACTGGCGCCCGCCTGCGCGCTTCAGCAAGGCCGGCACCCACGGCACATGAAAAGGGCAAATCCGCGTTCTTCTCCGGAAAAACGTAAGGCGTGCAGGGAAGACGCGCACTACGCCACAGAACCGCGTCGCGCCAGCATCCGCTCTAGCTCACGTTGAGGCCGTCCCTGAGGAGCCAGCTGTCCCTGTAGGCCGCCTGCCCTTGCTGCTTGTGCCGCCGCGCGATGACGTGCGGGATGCCCACGGGCAGCGTGTCCGTGGCCCTCCC